CCAGACCTGCTGAGCTTTTCCAGCAGCATTGTTTTTGTTCCTGTTTACAACATCCGCAGCTCTTTTGGTTGTTATTATCAAATCCTTTGTCTGTCCAACTGTTCTTCACTCTCTTTGGGCTCTATCCCCACATAACTTTACTCCTTACCCCTCCCTCTGCCCTAACTTCTGCATGTAACCCGTCATTTTCCTAGCTACTATCAGATAGATAGATAGGTTCTTGATTATCAAGGGGATCAAGGGTTACGGGGAGAAAGCAGGAGAATGGGATTGAGAAATTTATCAGCCATGATTGAATGGTGGAGCAGACTGGGTGGGCCGGATGGCCTAATTTCTGCTCCTATGTCTTATGGTCTTTTGGCCTTAGTTCTGACGAAGAATCACTGAACTCTGATTTTTCTTCACAGTTGCTGCCAAACCTGCTGAGCTTTTCCAGCAACTTCTGTTTTTGTTATAAACTGCATGTAAGCAAACAGCAGTTGGGGGGTGGTGGAGTGCGGGGGGAGCATTTTGTCTGACAAGAATTCACATTTCAAAGTTATTAGCTGCTGACTTTAAAGTCTGGGGACAGCAGGATTTCGAGACCTGTTCGCAGTTGGTGAAGAGAAGAACAAATTTGTTTTTCTTAACGCGGGAGACTGTGATCCTGCACAAATCAGTGCACAGACACACAGTGAGCTGGGTAACCAGTCTCTGGAAATCATCACCATCAAACATGTGTGTGACGTCTGAGGGGTCTTGTCATTACATCAGCGGGAAGCTCAGATGTTCACCTTAGAGCTGAAGTTTTGGGGTTATTCCAGTCTGATTCAGACCAACTGACATTGCAACAAACCATTTTATCGAAATGTTGAAGACCTATGAATTTGAATGTATCCAGTCTCTTGTGAAACACGTTTTATATTTGCAATAGGGTTATAACTAACTCTTGCCTGTCACATCCACGCCTGTAGATAACAAGTTCACAAGATCAGAGTTCACAAGAGTCACTTCGAGTCGGTCACCTGTAAGATTATATGCTTTCACATCTTTTCCACACAATTTAATTCCGTTGATTTTTTTAAAAAATGTAACATCCCTAGACCTGGTCAAAAATCACACGACACCAGGTTATAGTCCAATAGATTTATGTGAAAACACTAGCTTTCAAAGAGTCGCTCGGTCATCGGGTGTAGTGAGAGAGGCATCAATTTATAAGTAAAAGATCTTACAACTGATGCGGATGTATTGAACAAACCTAAAATAGCTGGCTGACTCCCTCCTGTTAAATCTTTAATCAGTTAGGAAGGAAGTGCAAGTGTTTTCAAATAAATCTGTTGGACTATACCTTGGTGTTGTGTGATTTTTGACTTTGTCCAACACAGTCGGACACCAGCACATCCATATCATCCCAGCACCCGGCTTATTTGTATATAACCCATTTAAACAAATCCCACTGGAGAGGGTGGGTATAACATTACACTGTTTATGAAGTACATTGACCATATTCTTGGGAGATGGATTATCAAGAGAAATTCCATCTGTAGTCTGGGAAATTAAAATCACTAGTTAAATCACTAAACTGCGACATTGCTGAAATGTTTATCCAACCGTAAATAGTTTAGAAAAGAATATAATTCTTGTCTTGCTTTGTATTTGGGGGGCGGGGTGTGTGTGGTCGGAGATGGGGTTGATGTGGTGGAACCTGATTTAATATTTTATCAGCAAATGAGTCCCAAGTGTTGTGAAGGGGCCACTGGATCCGAGCAAGTTTTGCAATAACGGAGTGAAGCGGACGCGAGGCGGCGGGCGGCCTATAGGTGGCAGTGCGAAACAATAATTCAGGCACCTTACTTCATTCTTCCTAGACAACAAGGTGCAGGGCTGGATGAACACAGCAGGCCAAGCAGCATCATAGGAGCAGAGAGGCTGACGTTTCGGGCCTAGACCCTTCATCAGAAAAGGGGGAGGGGAAGGGGGTTTTGAAATAAATAGGGAGAGAGTGGGAGGCGGATAGAAGAGGGATAGAGGAGAGGATAGGTGGAGAGGAAACAAACAGGTCGAAGAGGCGGGGATGGGGCCAGGAAAGGTGAGTGTAGGTAGGGAGTTAGGAAGGGGATAGGTCAGTCCAGGGAACCCTTTGCTCATTATCTTCCTGTTCCTGATCGCCAGGAGGGTGGCTATCGGGGAAACACCCAGCCATTTGCAAAAACGATCAGCATCCCTCACTTTTGCATCAATACTAAAGCTGATTGCAGCTGCATCTCATGCTGCATCGCAAAGGAAATAACTCACCAACATTCCTGAAATGAGTTGCCACAATAAAGCTTACATGTTGAAAAACAAGTATTGTTTTCTGTTTGGTGGATATATTTTGTTCTCTGTGCGTCCGTTTGATCGAAATATGTTCCAAATCATTCGCAGTTGCTGTTTCATTCTTCATTCATTCTTCGCTGTTCTGTCTTTGCACGTGTATTTCTTAAAGGTATTGCCACAATTTTAAATGCTCACCGTAAATGTTGCTTTACATAAGTATCGACCCTCTAAGGAAGTGACAAAAAAGAACTTCAGAAGAACTGGTAAAACTAACCTAATAACATTTGCAACTCAGGGAGCAGAATAGATCATTAGAACAGATAGAAGAGAATATGGGCAGACGTGTTGTGAATCTCTCATACAGGTAGATGTAGGTGGATGGACAGACCAGCAGAGAAAAGAGGGTGCGGTAGGACCTGACTGGTTCTGATTTATGTTGGAGCAACTTCAGCAACATGAATCGAACAGAGCTTTCCTTAAAATTTCTTTCAAATCCAAATAATGAAATATAGCTGTGCAGTCTATCTTTTTATAGAATGGTCCCAGGACTGTCATAGCGACCTCTAAATGACTGAAAGATTTCCTTGTCGAGCTCAGCAGCACCTGAAACAACTGTGCAGCTCAGCGCCCGCCGAGCCATTTCTCCATCCTCTTCCCCATATTGTTATGTCTGTCTGATTGAGCACCGAGATTCATTTCGCTATTTGTGTCCCGGAAAAGTGTCATTGGAATATTTTAAATGTATCAGGGCCAAAGAGAGTCATCCGGGGTTAATCATTCTTAAAAGAACCAAACAATAGGAATTATTATGTACTGCTCCAGCTGAAACTATCCCGGATTATTATCATCAATTAAAATGACATGTATATAAAGTAAATCATTTCTGATACTATTTGTGTCCCCAGCTTGAAGAATAAAAGAGAATAGAATCAAATCCTGGGAGGGCATTGCCTGAGACCAGTGTTACTTGCACTGCACTAGGTATGAAAAGAGAATTGACAGAAAGGATATTACCACTTACTAACGTTGTATCATTGCCATGAATGTATCTATGGCAGAGAAATTAGTTAAGAATTGGATTTTAACAGCGGGTTCCAAAGAAATTAAAACAAACGGAAATATGTACTACTCATTTCAGACTTCTGATCCGAAGAGGCTTTATTTTAATAAACGAAGTTTTATTCGCACGAAAGTAAAATACTTTATTCATTCACGCAGAAGCGAAGTTAAAAATGCTCATCTCCTGGGATTTGCACATTTTTTTTCATATTAACATGCGAATTGTTGATTTCCCTGGCGTCCTGGAGTTTACTGCTCTGTTTTGGGATCTTCAATTCTGTAGCAAATTTAGGATCAACAGAGCCACGGGGAACAGCTTTGAAGTTGGACTTCTCCTGTTCATCAGTAGAAACACTGGGGTCGGTCTCCTCAAATTGCTTTCGTTTCTTTCTGTGGCACTTTTCATGCACCGGGGCGGATTTGCGTCACAAGTGCAACTTGCGAGACGAGATAAAGTTGCACAAATATTGAAAACGGAAGTTCTACCAGTCATTATAAAGTTTTTCTCCGGAAGAAATAAGGATTTCTGCTGTATCCTAAAATACTAAACGGGTTCTATTTTAAGTAAATCTAACAGGCATATCCGCTCATTTACTTCGCGTTTAAGCACATCAAAACAGGATGGCTATCAACGATGTGAACTTAATAGTGCTGGACATTTCCTCCACTCTGAAGACTGGTCCAGAGGAAAAAAACGTCTTTATATATTTCCAATTCAAACAAATACTTAACAATGTACGGGGAATACACAAAGCAAGATGTATGTCATTGTTGTGGAGACGCCTGATAATAACTGCTTTGCAATAGGTTTATTTCAATAGGTCGTTATATCGATAGCAAACAGACAGATACCGGGTACAATTACTTTTTTTAATTTATGTAGCAGGCTAATATAAAACAAATTGGAGGAGTTTAAGGCTGAATGTAAATCTGCTGCCTTGTGAGTAAGGTTGAGGCTATAATTGTAGAATTACATCCAAATGGACCTGTTATTTTTTCCAATATTGAATGCAGTACTTAAGCTGCTGGCGCGTCAAATGCATTCCTTTAAAAAAATTGCAACATAGCGTTTGTGATTTCAACTTCAGGTTAAAGTGTGATTTGTGCTTCCCCTTCTCGATCAATCCCAATCAGTCTGCCCTCCTCGCCTGGCTGGTTGCTGAGATACTGATCCATTGACACAAGTTGTCTTCTGGGGCTTCACCCAAATGTTCGTCATTTCATATCACTTCAAATCAGGAAGCCCATTTAGTTTTCATTTTAAATACAGTCCAATGCCATTACTCACAGAAAACAAAACGTACACCTTGACACCAATTAACTTGAAATGGTCTCCTTTCGAATCTTTGAACTGTTGGCTTATCCTTAGATTATTAGTTAAAGCCGCTCGAGTCCGCAACAGCTGGACCTAGTTCTGTGCCCAATATAAACCCCAGCAGTGCTCAGACATTATATTAAAAGAAGCAATCGCGCGCTCGTTTCATCGTTTTTATTTATAGACGGCGATTGCAAGACTTGAATACAATAACTCGTGACTTGCATTGTTGCGTTGCAAATGTCAAAAAAACCCTTTAAAGCCGTGTTGCTTCCAGCTTTTAAAGTCTGCTTGACTTCCTGAGGCGCAGCTGTAGTACAGCAGGAGGAGTCAGACCGTGTAGAGCTCTCACTGCCATTGGCTGTGGGGGCGCTACATGTAGCCAATCGGAGTTGAACACTGGCAACTTCTTCCCAAACTGACTTGAACTCTCTTGCCAAATGTGCAGATGAGTTTTAGGAAAGTTTTTCGTTTGCAAAGTCAAGTTCCCTCCCCGCCCCCAAGTCTGCTTTCGACCCTCGCTTTTCACGTTTCCATTCTAATTGTTCTTTCGAGTTCAGGGCAGAGCGGAGGCAGTATTGCACAATGTACACTACAGGACTAGCTCCTTACTACGCCAGTAATTTCAGCCTGTGGTCCGCCTATTGCTCGAACAGTTTGTTGGATTCGGTGAAGAAGCCCTCGTTTTGTATCGCGGACATCCTGCATCTCAGTGACGCCGAGAACATGCCGAGTGCACCGGCACCTCTGCCGGGATCGACGGCCGCCGTGGCCCATCTGAGCGGATCACACGCCATGCAACCCCCGGGCTCCCCCGTTCGTCCCACGCCCGTGGCTCCCGAGCGGCTCGCCAGCTTCACCCCGAGAGTTTCCCCGGCCTCTCCCTATCAACGAAGCCCCGCCATCTGCACTTCCTCATCGGCCAGGATCCACCTCGCTGCCGGTTCGATGCAGCAGCTCCCCGCCCCCTCCAGCAAAGACCTCAAATTTGGCATTGACCGTATTCTCTCCACTGACTTTGACTTTAAAATCAAAGACAGCAGTAGCATACGAGGTAAGATAGGCCGAGCATGGACCTGTCGTTTTATTTTTCACTTCGAGCATTAGTAACAATGTTAGGAGAGCGGGACTCATATTTTGCAAATTTAAAATCAGCAATTACTTCATGGAAAGTTGATGGGATTGCTGTCTGGGTTGGTTATTGAACTATTTTCATTTGTGTTTAAGAAGCATCTAGCGTCTGTGAAAGGGGGTGGATGCATCCTTTGGGAAATAAGCACTCTAGTGACGGGAAAGTACAATGTGGGGTCTGCTTTGCCAGGGACTATGTTTCAGCAAATGTGCAGTATGTTTCAGTAAATGTGCAGTGTGTTTCTGTGCAGAAACATTTGCAGCTCCCCATTTCCGTAAATACACATCTCGCTTTCTTCCACTAAAAAAAACTTTCCCTACATTTCCGATGTGGGATCAGCCTAAACGGACACGGGGGCTGCCCATGGTTTGGAGAATTGAGCGAATGAATTGGAAACAGATTTTTAAACGGCAGTAACTTAACCTTGTGTTCCAATTGCCACTGCAGATCTCACCTCTCTCATGGGCACAGCTCGCCAGCCTGGAGTACACCTCTCCGTACAGAGTTCCGCCAGCCAGTTCTTTGCGTCCCTGGACCCTGGACTTGGTGAGCCTTCCTCAGTTTTGAACTCCAGAACCTCGTCCCAGCACCATTATCAGGACTCATTTCCAGGTTAATAGTCTTAATTCGGCCATTTTCACCACGGGGGTTGGTGGGGGGAGGCACAGAACTCTGCTTCAGATGCGTTACAATATTGCAACGTCGGAAGGCCAAGCAAACATGTATTTAATCTCAGTAAAATATTCAAACGATATAAAGGAAGCCACTTGATAAAATATATGCTACAAACCTGCAAAATCGTTATATTCCATGTAGCACATTTATTCAATTTATTTTTATTTAACATCCCTCCCCCTTCAAAAAGCAATAATCTTTTATATATTGGTTGTGGGAGGCAGTGATTCGATCATATTCACAGTTCATCTGAAGAGGATCCGAGCCGATGGGATTCAGGACATTAGTGTCAAGCCAGGAGCAGTACATTTTTAATTTGCACGACTGGAAGTATCAAGCCGTTGCCCGCAGGCCAGGAATGCACTCACGCTTCAAAGTGCCAAGAGTTCGCTGTGATGATCTCAGATTAAACATCTCCTCGGAAGCAATTTTGTTTTCGTTTCTTTTTACGAAAGGAAAACATGCCAGAGCCTTCCCGCAACATTAATACTGATGCTACTTTTTCTTTTAACTAGCAGGGCCTTACGCTGTCCTAACGAAGGACACCATGCCCCAGACGTACAAAAGAAAACGCTCCTGGTCCCGAGCAGTTTTCTCCAACCTGCAGAGAAAAGGGCTAGAGAAGAGATTTGAGATTCAGAAATATGTGACCAAGCCTGACCGGAAGCAGCTGGCGGCGATGCTGGGCTTGACTGATGCACAGGTTAGTGCCTCCAATCTGATCGACTACAGTATCCTGTTTACATTAACAATAGGGAGCGTAAGCACTTGGAAATGCTCCCAGTTGCTATACAATTATATTAGAATCCATTACAAAGGCAGATTAAAAAAAACAGAAGGTTGGACATTCAAAAATTAGTAACAGAGTTGTAAAAGGTCCCTGTTTAAAATGGAAATCACGCCGGCTGTCGCCCTCTGTGCTATATTATTAATAGATGCGGTGTTGTACATTTGAAGGAAGACGTAATGTGGCTCTTCAGAAGCTGTTAAACCGTGACCCACACTGCTTTAATGGGGTTGTCAAACACACAGCGTGGAGGAAGTGGTATCTTGTGCAAAATCAGGGTCATATTTTGTAACACGGTGTCGTGCGATGGGTGCTGGAGCTGAGCTTAAACCAGACCGCTTGAAAACGAGGTGTAGAGCTGGATGAACACAGCAGGCCAAGCAGCATCAGAGGAGCAAGAAAGCTGACGTTTCGGGCCTAGACCCTTCTTCAGAAATGGTTTCGACCCGAAACGTCAGCTTTCCTGCTCCTCTGATGCTGCTTGGCCTGC